ATTGAACTTGGGTCCTTGTGCTTGTGAGGCAGGCGCCAGAACCACTGAGGTAAATCCCCAGCCAAGCACATTTTTATTAAAACAAAAATGATGTCACTGCCTTGTGACATCTCAAATAAACAACATTACACCTTAAGGGACTAGAAAAGGAAAAATAATCCAAAATCAGTAGTAGGAAAGAAATAAGAGAGCATAAATAAATTAAACAAAATATAAAAAGGCAATAAAAATGTCAGTGAAACTGTTTGTTCTTTTAAAAGACAGAAAAAACAAATCACTCAGCCAGAATAAGCATAACAAAAAGACAAGACTCACAGAAAATCATATGTGGAAGAAGGGCCATTACAAGTGATGCCACAGGAAAAAATGTACATATAGAGAGAGACTGAATTTTTTTAATGAATGGGCAACTGCCATGAAGTAAGCTGTGTGACAACATCCAGTGTCCCAAAATACATGTAACAGGAATCCCCAGAGGAGGGAGCAGGGACAGAAAAATATTGCAAGAAATAGTGACTGATGAATTTCATGAGAACTGTAATCCCATAACTCCAAGAAGCATGAAGCATCAGAGCACAAGAAATATGAAGACAATTACAATTCCATTAGATAGGCACGTACCTTGGCTTAATATGCATGAGTGACATTATCTTTTTTTTTTTTTTTTTTTTTTTTTTTTTTTTTTTGGTTTTTTGAGACAGGGTCTCACTATGTAGCCCAGGCTGGTCTCAAACTCACATTGATCCTCCTGCCTCAGCCTCCCATGTGCTGGTGACATTATCTTTTAAAGCTGAACTTATGTCAGTAGTCTGTGCCTCAGCAATTTCATTTTAAAACACATATCTAACAGAAAGGCATGTACATGTGCTCCAACAGATAAGTATATGTGCATGTTCATGGTAGCGTTATTTATTATAACCCCAAACTGGACATATTTGATGGAGAACAGAAAATACAGAAATAAAAAGGAATGAATAATATATGCATTGAAATCACAAATACATTGTGGACCAAAAGAAGTCAGCACCCAAGTATCCCAAATAATATGCATCAAACTCCACTAACATGAAATTTTTAAAAGGCAAATTTAAGAAGTCAGGATCTTGGTTATTTTGTGAAGGACAAAGGGTAGGAATTGGAAGTAGGGACTAGGCCGGTTTCTGAGGAGCCAGTAACATTCCATCTCTTGACGGTGGCTACATAGATTTAATCACTTGGCATTCATTAATCTATTCAGTTAGGACCTAGAAACATTTCTGCATGTATGCTTGAAAAACTCTAAAAATGAATATATGTCACATTTTTAGAGTAAGGAAGTAAAATAATTCAATCATCTTAGATCTGGAAAAATAATTTGATAAAATTCATCATTAAAAAAATCTTAGGAAATATGAGATGGAAACCACCATAATATGATTCATGGTACCTATAAATAAACATTATACTCAATAATGAAATAGTAAACAGCAATTTTTAAAGGTCAACTAAGATGAATCAAGGCAGCTACTTCTGTTCAGGATTAATTACACTGGAAATCTCTGGCCAGTGTAGTAAATAGTTAATTTCTCAGCAAAAAGACATAGTGCATTCAAAATCGAATTTAATGAGGGCTTTTTCATAACTATTTAAAAAGGATTAGACATGGGAAATCATGTGGGACAATACAGTAACTCAAAGTAAGAGTCAGATTGGATTAAAAGGGTCAAGGGGAGAGGGAATATTATTAGAATTCAGAGGAAATAGTCATGTAACACAAGATTCCTTAAAAATTCTCCAAGCAGACAGACCTAAGTGAGCTCATAAGGCCCCACTTTCCCTTCTCCTCTCCCTCTGAGGTTTTCCTTTGCCTTAACCTGACTGGAAATGAGAGGGACAGGAGAATGGTGATTTAGTCTTTCTGGATCAATCCTTTGTGAAGTAGAGAGAAAAGATAGGAATCTGGGTCTGATGGGTAAAAGAGGAGAAATCTATATCATGCAATAAGATAAGAGAGCCAAAAGGATACAGATCCAAAGGAAGATTACTACTGTTTGCAAGTCATATGAAGGTATATGCAGAAATACTTAGGCACAGGATTAGAGTCAGTAAGTTGAATTCAATAAAGTTGCTAGATCTAAGGTTAACAAAAAATTAATTGTATTTATACATACCAGCAATCAGAGCCTGAAATTTTAGCTTTATTTTTACAATAGCATTGAAAATATTAAATACCTATGAATAAGACTATTAAAATATATGTAAAACATTTAAGTAAATAATAAATGTACTGAGAGAACTTAACGAAGAGTAATATAAAAGGAAAAAATCAAGGGTTGGAAATATTTATCTTAAAGCCATAATGTCTCCCCAAATTAATCTACAGATTGAACACAACCACAATAAAAATCCCATTTGTGTGTGTGTGTGTGTGTGTGTGTGTGAATATGTATATATGTTTGTGTAACTTCACAAATAATTCTCAAAACTGATCTGGAAATATACATGTCCAAAATACCCAAGACATCTTTGGGTGAACTTGTTCTACTAGATATTAAAACTCATTGCAGGCCGGGGATCTAGCTCAATGGTTCCACCACCTGCCTTGCAAGTGCAAGGATCCGAGTTTGATCCCCGGTACAAAAAAAAAAAAAAAAAAAAAACTCATTGCAG